CTGAGCTGCTGTTGTGTGGATGAGTGATGGCTTTTCCCATCGATGTGAAGGCTTCAGACAGAGTAAGGGCACTTCTCCATGAAGGAGGATAAGGAGTGCTAGGAAGGGCAGACCAGTCACTGGGGGGGAGGGAGTCATCCCCCTCAGCTCCTGTTAACCCTACAGCCAAAGCCCCAATGGGTAGGGTGGTCTTAGTTGGACAAGCAGCAGGAAATCTTGCTTATCAATGGCATATCATCTGAGATCATTAATATCAATGGCAAGCTATGTGTGGTTAGTTTATTATTATTATTATTTTAGCTGCTTAGACTCCAGCAGTTAACCCATCGCACACTCTGGGCTCCCCCCCAAGCCTTGACGCTCGCCAACCTTGCACCTAATACTTTCCGGAATTGAGTAAGCAGGATGCATCCCTCCAGGGAGAGAAAGAGAGTGAGCGCATTCCATTCCAACAATCTCTCTCTGGGATTTCCATGTGTAGGTGGAATTCATGGAAGCCCTTCAGCTTGGTTTGGAGACTCAAGCAACGGTGATGGGTTTCCTCGTGTGTCAAGACACCCGGCTGGCCCCCCCAAAAAAGGAAGCATAGTCTTGGCAAGGGTTGTGAAAAAAATATTGTCCACTGCATTACATGTGGAGTATCAAGGCCTATTCCACTGAATATAATATGATCAGTGGGATGAATTGAGGGATTATGTTTTGAAAAGTCCATTTCAAAAGCATGCAGTGTCTTGTTTTATTAATGCTTATTCAAAATAGTATTCATTTAAAACCTATTTGTTATAGTTCAGTCTTTACCGTCAGCCAATTTAGAAAAAGGAAGTATTTTATTAAAACATTAGGAAGGCTTAATATCTAAATAATCTTACCAGTGCACTATTATGCAATATAGTAGCCTAGGAGAAGCACTCATCAGTGTAATAGTGCAGATGAAGTTTGTGTAAAAAAAATTGAATTACTGGTAGAAATTGAGCCAAAAAGAATTTGCTAACATTTCTTCTTGTAAAAAAATAGCAATTTGGTTACTCAATCCACGACTGTTTGTGGGGACGCTGCTGTGTGCATTGGCTGCAGTGTTTTGCCCACAAAATATACAGTCAATTCACTTTACAGTGTATCCCGTGAAGCGCTTTGAGACGTCTCGAAGCAGACGTGATAAGGCACTGTGTCAAATGCCAGGATTATTATTATTGTTATTTCACTGACATCATGCAGATATTGCAGTGTTTGTCTCTGAAAGTGTTCTTTGGGAAAGGTGACCCACTCGCCTGTGCCGTCATGTTACTTTGGCACAGGCAAACCTTTCTCCCAGTGAGACAGGCACGTAAATGTACCTGTATGTACAGCAACGGGTGGGCGGGGAGTGATGTGCAGTTGGCTTCGGGCTTGTATGTGCAAGTGTGGCATACTCCACATACGCTGGCCGAAAGCCAGCTCGGGAACTCAGTCACCACAGCCATTCATCATCCTATACCTGAATATTTGCGTCTATCAGAAAATCATTTTTCTTTGTATCAAAAACACAAACGGCGAGCAGCATCCAGGGCCTGCGAATCCCGGCCTGCAGCAAGAGTTACTCGTTTCACGTTGTGTTAATGGAAAATGCCTTTCATTATGGAACCTCTTACCTACCTCAGGTTTACAGGGATAATGTGCTGACGGTGCAGCAAGTCTGGTGGGCCACTGGGTGGCAGAAGACAAGTGTTTAAACTGAACCCTCAGAGAGAAGGTTTTTAGGGGCTGTCTTTACTTTTTTTATTTCCGATTATTACATTTTTCGGTGTTAAGATCAGACAAACGCATTTTGATTGTGAGGCGTAATGGCAGTGAAATGCTTACTGTCAGTGAATGCAACTAACTTGTAATTGTGCCCTCTGACTATTCTTGTGACTACTCTTGCCAGTGTAGGGGAGAGGGGCAGCGAGATCCACTTCTTCATTACCTCATCTCTTCCTGTGTGATTCTCGCCTCCTCTTGCCCCTCCGCCCACCCCCCCCCCACCCACATACACACACAATGATCTGAGGCGGGTGGGCCAAAGGATTGCACACATACTCCTTCACAGATTTCACAATAAACGGCTCGTCTGTTTTCAGTGATAGCTGCACTTGCTGTAGGCACGACCCAATATGACAGGTTTCCTTCCCCTCCCTGAGATGAGGCTTCTTGTATGAGGCAGTCCACCTGGCAGGCAGGCAGGCAGGCTGGAGAACTGCTGAAACTCGATACCCTACTGCTGAGCAGATCTGAATGGCTGGGAAAGCTGAGACTTAAATCCCAAAGTGGATTCCTGTAGCTCAGTGGTTAGAGCACTCGCCTCGCAAGGGAGAGACCTGGGTTCGATTCCCGGCAGGACGAAACGTTGGGCAAGTTTCTTTGCTCTACTCACACGCCTCTGTTTACCAGCAGTGAGTAGGAACTCGGTTGTGAGTCGATTGGAGCATCGCTTTTCTGGGGGTTAATAATTACTTTTAAAAAAATGGTCACTCAATGCACGACTGTTTGTGGGGACCCTGCTGTGCCCAATTGGCTGCTGCGTTTTGCCCACACTTTACAGTATATTCTGTGAAGCGCTTTGAGACGTCTCGAAAACGAGATAAGGCACTATATGAAATGCAAGGATTATTATTATTAAGACCACATGGTGAGAGCCCAGAATCTTATCCTGTACTTTACTAAGCCACTGCTGCTACTCCAGTTGTCTCTCACCTACATTGGCAAGAGGCTGAGTCTTTGTGCCATAATACATACTTGGAAGCAAGGCTGGAAGCAAGGTTCTGCTGGAAGCTAAACATTTGCTGATGTTGCTGGTGAATATTATGACTTAATAATAATAATTCTTGTATTTGATGTAGCCCCTTATCATGTCTTCGAGATGTCTCAAATTGCTTGGAAGAATTATATTGTAAAGTGTAGTGACTGTATATTTTGTGGGCAGAACGCTTGTTGTTTGTTGCTCTGAATGTTATATTTTACTTAACGTGAGGTGCTGTAGTTACAGCTGCGCAATTATTCTGTACCCCATCTTTCTGGGAGGGGAACATTCCCCCTTCAGCCGTAAGGAAGGCCGCAATGACTTAAAGAAATCATTTCCTGAATAGAAGAATTGTAACCATTAGGTTTACTGAGCTGATAAAATTCCACATTAAGGCGTCTCTACCAGAATCAGTTGATGAACAGGCGTCACTTGAGAGGCTGATAACATGTCAGATTTTTTAAATGCTTTATCACAATATTGCATGAGCTGTGGGGCAGGGCGGAATATTTCTAAGCCTCGGTACTATTTGCATAAAAATGATAGTCCTACCGTATATGTCGCCTTTTCTGCTCTGTACGAGGTGTTAAGCCTTTGCAAAACTCTTGGGGTTGGTGTTGCATCCACCTCGCTGCTCGCTGCAGGAATGGAGAGGATATTGGAAATGCTACACCTCCCTCAACACTGGGATGTCTGTGTTACTTTCAGCCAACCCCTGCCTGGTGTACAGAACCCACTTTACAACACCTGGGGGAAGCCATTGTGTGTTTTCTCTCACATTTCTTTCTTTTAGCGATTCGAATTTCAGATTCTAGAAAGCTGTGGTAGTTACAGTGGGCATCATGTCGCCCATTAGTAGACGGGGGCTTCAGTGCTAAGACATACGCACTAATCTGTCATGTGGTTAGTTTTCGATCTCAGTGGTTGTTAGAAGCAGACACCAGGCATTTCCTCACAAGTCCTGTAGTGTAGTGGTTAGAGCACAAGTGAGAGGACCGAGGTTAGAATCCCAGGCAGGGTGAAACCTTGAACAAGTTTCCTTGCTCCAAATGCCTCTGTTTACAATTCACCAGGTCATCGAGGTAATTCAGTACAGTTCCAAGGTTACCTTGGCAGTGGTTCTTTCTATTCTGGCCCATTTACCACCTATTGTCATATAATTCCCTGCACCAGATGAGAGTTTCAGTAATAAACATTCCTACTTCAACAGTGGGCTTGAAGAGCATTTCATTTGGTGAGTTACAAGTTATTGGCAACCAGAGTCCGGTTGTCTAACACCAGTATTTATAAGACCTCAGTTTTTTAACACGATTGAACATTGCATAAGTGTGTCTGGCACAACTATCGCTACCTCCTGCCGCGTTCACTGTTGGTGGAAAATATTGTTAAAAAAGTAATAGTTAACAGGCGACGGTTGTGAAAGTATTCATTATAAAAAACGAATACCAATCTCGGAAAATACCAAAGCCTGTCCCATTGTATAAACAATGTTGTTCTCTATCCATCATAACTTTCAATCCCCACCTTCATCATAAATCTATCTACTTCCCTGTTTGAAATTGGGCAATGCTGTCTGTCTCCACCTTTTCCTGGGGCAAAATGTTCCACATATTTTCTGCCCTCGGCATAGTTATCTTAACATTTACATTCACATTCCCCTCGTTGGGCTTTCGAACCATTTACTTCTTGGCTCTTATCAAACATAAAGTTCATCTTATCTCCAGGATTCAATACTTCAATACGATCATCTTTTAAATATATGCAGTTTCTCCTTGTAGCTCAGGTGCTCTCTCTCTCTCTCTCGCTCTCCAATACATCTGTTTGGTCACCCACTGATGTCCCCCATCTAATGGTAGAGCTTCCCTACTTGTAGGAAGGACCTCAGACTGTGTAGGGCAGGGAAGCTTGGTGCTTTGTACAAGTCCATGATGATATTGTCAAGAGGTCAAGCGCAAGGCTCACAAAGGGAGAGTTGAGAAGTTTAGATTTAACTTCTCTGCACAAAGAGTGGTGACTTACGATTAGCCCCTTGAGCCAGACACCCTATCATGTCCTTTGCTTTCTTTGTTGTTGCTGCATTGTGTGTTAATGATTTCAGTGAATTATCTGCCAATAGCCCACGTCTCACAGGCGTTCCACAGTTTGGTGTTTATGGAGATGAGTGAAACAAAAAAGGTTGTCTTGCACATAAGCAAAGTACGGCTCTTTTAAAGTCTGCAAATTTTATCTTTTTTTCCTCCTACAGATTGAAAATCTTCAGGAACAGCTTAGAGATAAAGATAAGCAACTTAATAACCTTAAGGACCGGGTTAAGTCGCTACAGACTGATTCTAGTAATACAGACACAGCATTAGCCACGCTGGAGGAAGCTTTATCAGAAAAGGTAATGGATTTCAGTTTAACTCTTTAACTACTAACCGTGGCGGTCATGGAAATTATACACTGGTCTATCAACAGTGAACACATCTTCTCTGTGTACCTTTAGAGAGGTAGTTTGGTTACTGACTTGTGAGTAACATGGAAGTGTTTGTTGAACGGTATTTATTCTGAACATCGAGGAGTCAGCAATGGACTGTGGGCTTTAGCTTATTAGCACTTTCTGGGACCAATGGATTTTGAGGACCGTGAGTGGGGTTTGTTCTCTAACACCGTACAGTCCTGGGGGTGTAAAGGTAACTTACATTTCAAAGATTATTTGTGGTATACAAAAAGCATGGTAAAAAATGGTAATAGAATATTTGTTTTAAAGCATAAAACAGACAGAGACATACACGGACACACAGACACAGGCACACACAGACACACACACACAGATAGACACACGCACACAGACGCACACACACATGCACGCATGCACAGACAGACTCAGACACTGTGTGCGTCTGTGTGTGTGTGTGCCTGTGTCTGTCTGTGCATGCACACAGCACACACACACACACACAGACACAAGCACATGCACACACAAGCCTGAGAATAAGTTGGTCAACATCATGTACACAGTAACTTTCTTCCCACTCTCCACAAACAATCTTGATGATTTGCGTGTCTCAGCCAATAAACGGCAACCTTTTTGTGACCAGAGGAGTTTTCAGTCCAGCTCCTCACATTGTTAATCCTCTTTCCTTCCCCGAGGCAAAGCAATGACTGATTAATGGACACGGTGCTGTCTGTCCAGTCGTCATCTGTGGTCAATTGCATTCTGTCTCGATAATGTGGGTCTTAACCACTAAATTCAGTTCCTTCCAAAACTGGGATTATTCAGCTCATTAGTGGCCCGATGTTCTAAACCTTGGAACAGTAATTGGAATGTATTCCCACCACTCTCCCCCGATGATTCCCTGACCTAACTGTGTCCGACTCAGGAGCTACCAAGCGGAGGTGAAGAACCTCTTCTCCGGGAGAGACCAAGAAAGTCAGAGCCTTTAGCAAACCTGTTTCCTTCCTATCAGCCAACCGTGTGTCGGTGCTGACCGTGTTAGGAGTGGACTGGCCAGTGTTGCGGTTGTTACACTAGAGACATGCCAATGGGAAGAAAATAATACTCACCCGCCACCATTTTATTAGGTCATCTGCATTCTCTCCATATGCCTTAATATCCTTTACTTTCCAAGGATCTATCTCCTTGTTAAACCCCCCGAGAGGGGGAATTCTCTGCTACTGTTACAATAGCACACATAATAAGTAGAAGATAGAGTTAGTTGGTTGATGAAAGGAACAATGGATTATCCCCATTGATGGTCCCATTAATACAGTCACTTCACAGTAAATGCTGTGAAGTGCTTTAGGATGTCCTGCCATGAAAGACGCTGTAACAAATGCAAGTATTATTATTATGATTATTAGTAGTATGATGATGATAATGGGAAGCAGTAATACCATTGGTACTAACCATAGTTTAACCTGGTGAAAGATGTTCGTTTTCAGGTTTCCCGATCCAGACTCCCCCCAAACTAGAGCAGACACTGAGCCATGTGCCACGTAACATTTAAAAGGAAGGTTTGTTTACCCCTTGAGTGAATTCCTACCAGCTGCTTTGCAGTTTTCTCACCAGCGGCAGCTTAAGTGATAGACCGCAGCTGTAAGGAAAGTCTGTTCTGGGCTCATTTGTACATATAAATGTAGGCCTTCTGCCACCAGGAGCAAAACCATTGGTGGATCTGCTGCTCCCCACCCTCCGGGGAAAATGCCAATTATTCCCTTCCGCAGTTTGGGTATTTATCATCTCTGATGGGATGTAGCATTACCCTCTTCATACACGTTTGAAATTCCCAAGCTTTCTCAAGGTTTAAAAGGTGGCCACAATCTGAGCTCATAATAATATAATAATAATAATAATAATCCTTGCATTTGATATAGCGCTTTTCATGTCGGGAGGACGTCCCAAAGCGCTTCACAGAACACACTGTAAAGTGAATTGACTGTATATTTGTGGGCGAACGCGGCAGCCAATGTCCCACAAACAGTCGTAGATTGAAAATGACCAATTTATTATTGTTTTGGGTTTTGGAGGATTATTATTAGGCTCTGTGTGGAGTAAGGAAACTTGCCCAAGGTTTCGCCCTCTGCCTGGAATTGAACTCAGGTCTCTCGCTTGCAAAGCGAGTGCTCTAACCACTGAGCTACAGGACTCCCTCAATACCCTCTTCAGACTCATGAGTCTGAAGAGGGTATTGAGACTTCTTTCCAACAAGACTGATTGAAGTCTATTTGGAAATATCTGAATCGGTATTTTGCATTCAGACCCAACTGTTTGTTTTAAATCTATAGTAGCGTTTCGGCAGAGGACAATTTGGATAATGAGTGTCCCTCTGGACGTGTGTAATGCCATTCTGTTTGTTGTGTTGCATGCTTGCCTGAAGGCAAGTGTTGACAGCTGGAAGGGAAGCAATGGTATGTTGTATTGTTTGTTTGGGGCTCATGACTGGATGTATAAATAATTTGGGTGGCTATATATGTTCAGTGGGTCCATATTCCCTTTGTGTCTAATAGTGCCTGCCTCCTTTCCCCTGCCAAGCTGGGAGTAAGTAGAGGAGTGAGGGGAGAGTGGGTGTATATCTCACACTTAAAGAGTGAGGTGTTTTGATGAGAAGAGGCATGGTACAAAGCACAAGTATCAACAATTAAGCTGGGCACCAAGCTTTGAGCAACCAATCTATTGAGCGGTGGTGGTCTTGTGTGAGGAGAATTCTCTGGATATGCAGAAATAGTTACTACTTTTTCTGCTAGAAACAGGATCACAACAAAGACTTAACAGAGTACTCTTTGGGGAGACCACTGCAGCTGCCTTTGTGGATCAGCATGCCAAAGTCTACATGAGGCCATTATTTGGCACAACAGAGAACAAAAAGTTTAACTTTCCTCCACCCCCCCCAGGGCAGTGAGTCATACAAGGTACAATTTCACTGACAGCCCTCTGCTATCTCATCCAAATGACAATTTTTCATGTGTGAGTCTTGACGAGGTGGGGGCATGATCAGTTGTCTGGCATACGAGTGAATTCTAGCAGACAATTCATCCATGGCGGACATTACATTGAGCCTTGCTCAACTTTGCGAATAGGGTCACAGGACAAGGATCAGGAGCAAAGACCCGGGGAGGAATGCTTTCTTCTTCTTTCTGTTCCAGAATCTCGAGCGCTATTGTGCTTGCACTGTTGTCCTCGATGAGATGAGCTCATTTGACGGAGACCAGGGATAGAACCTAACACCTTCATCATCTGTATGGCTCACTATATTGCTGCTCAACTATTGAATCATCTAGCGCACGGTGCCTTGAAGGAACCTCTAAAGTTCTAGGGATTGGGGATAGCTTGGCAAACGCTCTCGATCGTTTTCTCGTTTCCTGGTTGTGGAAATTGCTGAATGTATTTCCTCCCTTTTGGAAAGTGAGAAGAGTTGAGGGGAGGCCAGAAAAACAGTTCATTTCTGGCCATAATGGCTTTTATTTCCCACTAAGTTGCGCCAATTAAAAAATCACCTCATTGTTTGCCATGCAGGGAAGTTTGAAAGTCCCATAAAAAGGGAGTTTTTTCACTTTCCAGTCTGACTGACTGCACGCTAATTGAGTGTGAGCGTTGAGTGCTCAAAGCCCACAGAAAGAGGCAATTCAGACAGTTATTGCGCACAGAAAACCTGCCACCCAAGTAGTGTTTGACAGCAAGTGGCAGAAGCTTTCTGTCAGATTCTAGGACCAGTAAAAATGGTCTGACAGAAAGTCAGAATCTGACAAAGTGTGTGGAATCCTTCAAATCTGTTCCTGACTTCAGAAACATGCTAGACTTTGGTTTCACACCTGGTTCTGTCAAGGTTCATGTTAACTGGCTTAGTGAATATCTCCATTCCCACAGGAGTAGGTTCAGTAGGTAACATCCTGCGAAGTCCAGATATTTGAGCAGTGATTGGAACACAACAGGCTCACTCTGAGAGCTCTCAATCCTGCCTGATAGCTGAACGGAGCTTAAAAACAAACTCAACCAGACTGACTCATTGTGTTAGAGAACAACACGGGTTTGACCTCACTCCCTCCCTCTTTCTCTTCCCTCCCTCTTTCTCTTCCCTCCCCACTGTGACAATCCCTCACCCTGAGAAAAAAACATTCTTCAATACGGGTGAACAGGGGATCGTGGGCCTGGGAGATTCTAGGACACAGACACGTTAGCCTTTCCCCTCGCAACCGACAGAATGCAGTCAGTTCACTTTACATGGTGTTCTGTGAAGGGCTTTGAGATGTCTCGAAGACATGATAAGGCGCTTTATCCAATGCAAGGATTGTAATACTTTCAGATATTCTGTGAGTCACACAAGGAGTACAATGTTGTGGGATGTTCCTTATTTAGATCATGCTACTGCTAAAAGCAACAGTTGAGTGTTGGCTCCTCTGCTTCTCACACAGCCTCCTCCAGGTCTCACTGCAGCTCTTCACCACTAACTACTGTTGAAAGAGCCTCTTTGTCATCCATCACCCACAACAAAGTTCCTTTGTCCTTGAACTAAGGGCAGTGACATTGAGTCCATCTTTCAATACAGCAGCTTCAACTAGTTCTTCGACCAATGTCTCCATCACCAGTTCAGGCTTGATTTAAACAAAACTAGAGATGATGTAGCATGCAATAGCATTGCAAGAACCAGGAAAGGGGAAGGATTCATGACGCTGGATAGTTCAAAGTGCTCCAAAAGGGATAGGCATACTTTCTGGTGGGCTTTGCCGGGATATAAGAGTTCCTGGACACTAACCCACGCGATATAAATGCAAGTTGTTGTTGGATATTCACTCACGGATACGGAGGAGAATGCTAAGGGTGACAGGCACAATAGCACTTGTCAGCCATTGCTTTTTGAGAATTGATCTTCAAATTTAGAATATTATAATAATAATCCTTGCATT